CCGAATCTCAAGCATTATGGACATTCTATCGCGAATCAACAATACAATGGACGCAAGCAAACTATTGTTTTTGACCGTGATCTGAATGCATCACGCAATATGATATACAAAGCATTGTGTATGATACAGGATATTCCAATCAATGGTGATTTCAATCGGAGTGCTGCCTATTTACGACAACGGGCACATTAAATGAATATCCTCCTCGGCAGTCTCCCGTAGTTTACTCTGTCTACGAGTAATTTACGTGTGTGAGTAAGTGTCGTTTGGTTTCATTCATTGTAGACCGATTGATTCATTAATGGTGATATTTTTTTTCATTCCATTCTTTTTTTTAATTTGAAATAGGTAGTGGCCTTGGCACCAAGTGCTATTCTATAGTAAGCATTTTGTTTTTGTTTCTCTTCCACAGCAGAACGCGATTCTCAACACTACTACCAAATCTCAAATTAAAGCAATGTTGTTTGCTTTTAAACTATACATATTTGATTTTCATTATATGTTTCCATTACTTCCATTACGTTCCATTACATATTGATTAATTTCCATTCTTTTCTTTGTGATTAACCCCAGGCAGACTGACAGTGATGTCGATCCATCAAAACAAGATACACCAAAAAGGAAAAAGAAAATCTATCGCTGCAAAAGATGTAGTAAATTGTGTAACTCGAAAAACGCTCTTCAATATCACTTCTTATCACATACAGGAGAACGGTAATTATGAATACATAGTAAAAAAAACCTAAAAAGACAACTAAAGATTTGTTTGTTTTTCAGCCCACACCAATGCAATGACTGTGGAAAGAGTTTCTTTGCCAGCAGTGCTTTAAAAGTCCACATGCGTCTTCACTCAGGTGATAAACCATATAGTTGTGACTTTTGCCATAGGCCATTCAGACAATGGGGCGATTTAAAGGTAGTAATTCCATCATTTTCCTTCCCATTTTTTTATTCTTGATCTTATTGTCTATATTTTCAGTATCATATACAATCCAAACACACAAAGGAAAAGTCACATCAATGTGAGTTTTGTGGCAAGGATTTTGCCCGTCGATACAGTTTGATCATTCACAGACGCATTCACACCGGTATGGACAGTTATTTATTTATTTTTTCATTCAGAATTTCAAATATTAATTAAGTGTTCTTTGTGCATTTTAGGCGAAAAAAATTACAAATGCGAATTTTGTAATAAAGAATTCCGTGCATCCTCGTATCTTCAAGTTCATCGAAAAATTCATACCGGCGAAAAACCGTTCGTCTGTGACGTCTGTGGCAAACGTTTTCGAGTTAGAGGTGACTTAAAACGTCATTCAAATATTCATGAACGTAATAAGGCAAAAGATGCGAAAATTGATGATTTGAACTGTATGAGAAATGCCGAAAACAATACGCAACAGAGTCGAACAACAGACACCACCCTCGATCAATTGGTCAGTGTCATGGAATGTGGTGATGCGTCGCTTCCCGGTGACAACAGTCCCGAATTCATGCAAATCGAATATGAGAAAAACTTTACAAAACTAAAAAACAAACAGGACCTCAAAACGGTAGAAATACAAGAATCAACAATTCTTGATTATAGCCAGCAAACAAAAATGTAACGCTTTTAGTTTATTTTAACCTTGAAATAAAATGTCTTACATCCGTAAGATGAACTTTTCCGCACTGTGATCCCCAACATGCATTTATTTCATATCTTTTGAATTCATGAGAAAACTGAATCTGACATTAGTTTAGCGACAAAAAAATTACTAAAAATGCGAATTTAACCCTCAAACGCACACGTGAGGTCTCTTAGTTTTTTGAAAAAATCACAAAAATATAAAAAAAAATTGGAAAATTTCGCTGAGCGTTTTCTTTTTTAATATCATATCTATGTGATAAAATCAAAAATTTCAATGTTTGGTGCATAGATGAAGTTTTGGGAAGTCTTATACAAAATACTAACGTAAAAGCACAACGGGGTCTTTTGGACCCCAAAGTATTTTGTATGGGAAATGATGTATTCTGTATGGGCCAATATGAAACTCATGGAGATTTGTTGACACAACAATTTACATTTCATCAAACAACAACACAGTAAATTGTTTCGTCCGTGACGTATACTGTTCATCGCAAATCAAATGGCATTTGCCATTATAATATATATTCATACATTGTTTTTTTTTTGGATAGGATAGATCCGTAAGATCTCCACAAGAGCTTGATCTAAGCGTGCATACGCCGCCGCATGATATATTCGTTCGTTTTTCTGTGTTGCTTCGACGCGCAAATCAAAGCAGGCGTGCCAATCAAAGTATGTATCATGCGGCGGCCTACGCACGCTTAGATCCAGCTCTTGCGGAGATCTTACGGATCTATCCTATCCAAAACACAATGTATGGGCATATTTCGTGAATTTGGTGAACGTTGCTGGTGTGGCAGGGTTTGCCTTGTTGCGAACGTCTAACAACATGTTTGCCAAGTATGGAGGAAGAACGGAAGCAGCGCGATCTCATCGCACTCCATATAAAGCAATGTAATTGGTTTCGATCACGCAAATGTGCTGCCACCTGGTGTCTCAGAGTTAAGCTGATATATCACACATGCTTCTTGCAAATGCAGAAGAAGAGGAAGGAAAAATGTTTACATAGGGTTGAACTTATAAATGCCAGAGAGCTACAGTGTTCAAAGTGCGATTCGGGAAGCAGTCTCTATATTGATCTCACATATCGAGAGGTAGTTCGGCGCAGTACACGAAGCACATTAACTGGCCAACGACTGTCGATTAGCGATATTAGTGAAAGACACGACTGTCTGAAAGTCGTACATATCAATAACTACCAAGCATTTTGGCTATAATTGATTTTTTTTCCATAAAAATCAATATTAAATTGTGATGCTGTATTGGAAAGTAAGGAATAAGCTATGGTTTAACTATAAAATGACATATTTTACTCATTGGATACCATTTTGCATAAGTTTTGTATGAAATTTCTCATGGGTGCGCTTACGTTACTGTTTTAGCCTGTGCGGTTAAGGGTTAAATAAATGTTCAAATTGAATTCAGAACATTTTCGAATAAATTACCATTAGGACTAAAGTATATAATTTTAAAACTTTGAGTTTTCAATAAAATATCTCTCAATTTATAATTGATGCAATATTCCGTTTAATAAGCAATGCATACGCACATTAAATTCAAATGTTTGAAATAAATGCATTCCATTGTGCTGCAATCTAGGTTATTTCTACAAAAAATGTATGCAACAATACACTGCTGGCTTGGTAGCAAAATGTCCATCTTGCGGAAATGCCGAAGATCAAAATGGAATCAAATATCGAGCTTTTTTGCAAGGACGGTGTATTTATTGTCCAGAAAAAGATGCAGGTGAGCGATATTGATTAAACATCACTCAATATTCTCTAGAATATGGATACAGTTCGAATATAATCAATGAAATTCTCCAAATTGGGAACAAACTGGTGCGTTCGTCGATATTGAGGGTCTCACGTATAAATGCGTTGCAGAAACATGTGGAGATCCCAATGGCCGCAATTATCGCGGTAAAGCAGGAATATGGTTGATTGACAGATGCCGTTATTGTGGCGATAGTTCATGTCGGCTGTCTGCTTTGAATGTTTTGATTGTCGTCGTAAAGATTTCACAGTAGCCTTAATGTACAATGTACATGGAAATTACCCAAAATAACACAACTTAAAACGATGACACACGAGAAACGACAATTCAGCCGCACCAACAACAAAACGAATCGGAATTGGATGAATATGAAGAATCAAAAATTCAGCCGAGCAAACGACAAAACGAATCGGAATCGGATGAACATGAAAAAAAAATGAAAATAAAGTTTGGAAATTGATGAAAACCGAGGTATCGTCAACGATTTGAATGGATTCCTTGGTGATAATTCAAAAAACAAAAGCAAAAGAAAAATGGAATAAAAGCAAATACATGGATCGAAGGTAACAAAAATAAACAACAAACATTTTGCATTGAAATAATCATGCATTTGTTTAATGTATTGATTCTTGAAACCGAATAAGCTTGACACTTGACACCCGCTATGTCAAATGAAATTCGTAGTTTTTTCTGTTATGTTGATTTAATTAGTTCAATTGGCAATTATTTCGAAAAAAGACAATTTGTCTTTCAGTTGATGTTTAGCTGCCGTCAGAAAACGTTTGGTTTGGAATAAATTGTTCAAAATGTCGAACGAAACCGATTTAGATGAATTGAGCATTTTAAAAAACGGCTATGAACGCTTTTTGAGCAGTCCGGGTGATTTAGCAAATTGTGAAAATGCAATAATTACAGTTAGACGTGCCCAGCAGATTATCACACAAAAAAAGAATAAAATTAAAGTGAGCTTATCGCAAGAGCAAATTTTGAATCAAACGAATCGATATCCATCGAGCATGATGAAACGTTCACAATCAACTAATATTCAAAAAACGTTAGCATCATCGAATAGCATAGTTCGATCAAATCGTGTTAACTTGATACGACCGTCATTAATACCGGTAAAAATAAAGGATCAATCAAAATTACGCGCACTCACATTGTCACCGAATCAAAAATCACCCGATTCAAGTCAGGATGCTTCAAAATATCGATCGTTTCGCAAGATGAGTGCTCCAATCGAAAGACGAAATTATGTGTCACATCAGGAATCCACATTATCATCTCTGCCATTGACAATGACACAATCCTTGGATTTGCGAAATGATCATGATGATCGCCTTGATTTGTTGGATAAATTTAAATGCAGAATTTGTTTCAATATAATAAGAAACTCACGTGTATTAAATTGTTTGCATACATTTTGTATGGAATGTCTATATAGCATTGAAAATTCAATTCAACCAAAAACAACACCAAATAAATTAAATCCAAATGCACGTTCGAATAGCTTTGAAAAAACAGAAATGAATTGTTCTCATGAATTCAAAGAAAGTGATCGACAATTAATGTCATCATCTATGTCGAATAAGCCAATTAGAAAACCATTTTCAACGACATTGAAAAAACGATCCGTCGAACTGAAAGTAAGTCAAACTATATATTTTTGAAACTAAAATCAATGGCGTTTGCTAATCGGCTTGCATATATTTTTAGCAACAACAAAAAACGAAATCTGTACCACAACAGAAGCGTCCACCGAGCTTAATTACGGAAAAGGGAAGAGTTTCATTGAAATGTCCATTATGTTTATTACGAACGGAAATTCCAATTGGTGGCGTGAGTCGAGTGCCAAAAAATTTTCTACTCGAAAGACAATTGCAAGATGAAATCTACAAAATTTGTTTGAAAAATGAAAATTGTAACCAATGTTATGATGAAATTAAGGTAAACTAGGTCGTTTTAAATGAAAAACTTATACATATGAAGTTTATATTTATTGCAGGCACATGCGTATTGTTTAAACTGTGACATTAATTTATGTAATGTTTGCCAAGGAGTCCATATGCGTCAAAGATGGACATCGAAACATATGGTAATTTCATTGCCAGATATAAAAAAAGAAAAACACCAGGGATTGCAAACATCATTGAAGTGTTTCGTTCATCCAACACAAGATCTAAAGCTATACTGTATCAATTGTAATATTGTTGCTTGTCAAAATTGTACCATATTACTTCACAAGGGACACAAGTTTGAATCGATTGAGAGAGCAAAACAACATATAATCAAGAAATTCAGTGAATCTGTTGAACAAAATCAAAGATATCACGACTTTGTGAATGAGTCTATATCTAAATTGAATGGAGCGATTGTAAAGATAAATGATAAAGCAGAGATTGTAAAGGTACTTTTTTTGAAAAGAAAAATGTTTGTTTAAGAACAAATTTTAATCGTAGAGGAACTTTGAACTTTTATTATGACTCTGTACGTAAATTATCCAAAATGTGCTTTTTTCTCTTCAAATTACAGATGGAGATTGAAATATTTTTCAAAGACTACATCGAGGCGATAGAGGTTATATCTGACATTTCTTTTTTTTGTCAATATTTCTTAACCAACATACTAATTTATTAAAACTCATTCCAGGGTCATAAAGAATCACTGTTGCAGCAAATCATTAAAGCTAAAGAATCGAAGTCATTTTCGGTAATGGATCAACAAGAATATTTGGAAAAGCGGGTACTAGAAACTAAACAAGCGAATCAATTCGCTAAAAATCTCCTTGAAAATGGGAGTGACATTGAAATATTAACATTTATCGGTGTATTACAAAATCGTTTTGAATTTTGTCAAACACCGAGAATACGGTCAGAACCAAAAATTTCGAATTCTTTTCAATTCCTACGAGATATTCGGGCTCCGATAACATCTCAACAAAACAACATTCCAGTGTATGGTGTTCTTTCCATAGAAGACATCACAGCAATGAAATCCCTACTACCGTGCTAGATGGTGTCGACACGAGTGGACAGATTTTTAAATTTATTTGAACGACGCCATGTTATTATACTTGTCCATTACAACGTACATGTAACAGAAGAAACACACAGTCCATGTCCACGCTAGCGGATATAAACGATTTGAACCGTCAATGTGAACTAGATCAAGTATAGAATTTTACATAGGATCATATACGATGAATATGGATTACACAGTCTGTTTCAAAATACCGTCACCAATGTCGACACCATTTAACATCAAAATTTTGACAGTAAAAATATGTGTTATTGTTGTTGTCGTTTCATTGCTGTGGAAGACATTGACTCGAAATAATGCTAATATTATTATCCACTTCACCTATTTCTATTGGGATGTGAAAGATGATGTACAAACAGTGTTAACACATTATCGACAATTGATATACATTGAAATAGTCACTAATCTATATTTATTAAGAACAGCAACAACAGCCATTTGGCATAGATATATCTATAAAAATGGAATTAGAAAAAAATGTATCCAAGAAATGTGTTCTAGACGCTTGTGTTTACTATTTATTTCGTATATAATTGTGAAAATAAAGGAACAATAATCTAATTCATTCCTTGCGTGGTTTATGCTTCTGTCTAAATATATACAACAATTAAATCGATTTGTTCTATATATCATTTGTAAACCGTTTGAATAGAGAATAGTTAATTTTCGTAATCATATGCGGTAATAGTATGGCAAATAACGATGAAATTCTCAATGTTATCCTATTCTATATAAAAAAAAAAATTTGATCACAAGCGCGTTTTGGTACGCATAGTACATTAAAAGAAAATCATCTCAAAAAGATATGAGGATAAACAAAACAAGAAAATTTTTGCATGCTTTGAACTGTTTATATTCTTAGTCCAAGAGTTTTTTATCAAACAAAAACTCTCCCAATGGCCCTTGTGTGGCCATCAATTTGTCCAATGTCGAGATCTTTCCAGCGAGATCACGTTGACCATGGTATTGCTCTTCCAAAAAGTCGCCAGTCAAGTAGTCGACAAGCTATAGCGATAAAAGCGAAAAATTATCGAAATTAGTTCGAATGTCAATCCATGCTACATTTATATGGCAATAAAAAGAATCATACGTGATAGTCGTTGTTGTTGTTACTGGTGGTGTCACTTTCACATTTTTCGATGACTTGGCGAATACTCTTTGTTACTTTGGATTCGGTTTTAAGTGCGTCTTTCAATGCTTCAACACCAGTACTCCATAAGACTTTTTGTGGTACCTGATAATACAATAAAGATTACAATCAATAAAAAAATATTCAACACATTGTCATCGTATGATGATAAAATTATGTGCTCAATGGTGTGATACGGCAGGTACTTGATGTTGACTTGGAGAAAAACAACAAGCACTTGAAAGATACGATTTAAAAAAAAATAAAAAAAAAATAAGATAATTACATTGACAGTTATCAAGTTGGATACGTCATCGGTTAATTGGCCACGCATCAACAAGTATTCAATCAATTTCGTGGCGTGTTCACGCTCTTCACCAGCAGCCTTGAAGAAAAATTCAGAAAAGCCCGGACGATTAACGGTATCTTTGGCGAAATGAGCTCCCATTGCTAAATATTGCATTGAGGCATCAATTTCGGCTTGAATTTGACGACGCACTTCCTTGATACAGCCACGGGTCATGTCCAAAAAGTCAGTTGGAACATCGGCCTGCTTATCTTGACCTGTTGAGAAAGAAAAGAGCAGCATTAGCATTTTTCAAATGTTTCATGAAAACAGCAAATGTGAATGCAGAAAAAAAACGTGGTAAATTAGAGCGCAATAAATGTTTTATCAATTTTTGTGTGATTCACTATTTCCCGTGATAAAATATACGACAAAAGATACAACGAACAATCATGAAAAATATGCATGTACCGCAAAACATGCGATAAACAATACACCATACATTGAGATAAATGCGCAACGAGCGGAAAATTTTCTATAGCAAAAACATTCGTTAAATATCCACACATATGTATGTGCTAATGATTACTCTACGTTCAATTTCTAATTTACGGCATTGAGCAAAAACAGAAATAAATAATGATAAACAAAATTCCAATGATTGAAAAAAAAGTCAGCTGGTACTCGGCAAAAACGAATAAGTTTGTTTGTCACAAATTTGATCACATGAGAATCCCACAACTGACAACCAGCAAAAATTAAAAATCCCGTCATGAGGTCAATTTCACATCAAACCAATGCATGTTTCACTTTGTGCAATTTTCACATTTTTTTGCAATGTTTCAAGAAAAATATTTTTTTTTTTTGTTGTTTCAGAATGCGTACACACACTTATTTGACAAATCTGATCTATAACAAAAACAATGTTCATCATATAAATAATAATTTATCGCAGTATGACATTTTATGTACCGATATGTCGAAACAAAGAACCTTATTCATTGCATTCGCTATCACAGTGCATAGTCCAAAGTAACTATATGCGCTTTAACTATATAGATAAAATTCAAACGAACAAACACAGAAAAATGAAATAAATCGAAAAAAATCTTTACTTACATTTTAGCTTAGCCTGAGCTGATGAGACAGCGATTAAAAGTAAAACCGAAGCGATAAGCATCTTCATTTTGATTAAATAATAAATTTGATGTTTGAATAAAATAATAACTTTAAATTCGAGAGTGTGTTCTCTATATAAATGTTGAATTCGAACTGAGCTGACAGATAATGTAGTCGATTGACAGTGTCTTTAAGTGTGAATGAATCTCGGTTAGACAGTAGAGCGCTTTAGTAAAACTGAAAAGTAAAAAAAGAAATATTACACGTTAGTTGAAATGAAATGGAACATTTGCAAAAAAAAAACGAGAAATGTGCGTAATGCAAAATTGTCACACATTAAGCACTTTAGCCAATTGAATTGTGATTGAACAAAAAGAATGAATACGTACACGATGGATAATAAGGAAATCAACCTTTATACGCACTGGCATAGAAGGCGAACCAAATTCAACTGTTTTGGTTTGATGAGGAATCGACGTTTTAAATAAAACCAAATTTACCAAATTCAGTGGCTTTCAATAACACCAATGAAATTTTACTGTGTGAATGAGTAATTAAATTGCGTTGTATTTTAATTCAGTAACCAATACAGTATGCACAACAATACAAGTCTTACAATACTAACTACTTGTCACAAACTACAAACCATTGTGCTACACATTTAAAGACTCGCCATGTTTGTTTTTCTATGTATTTCTCCTCTTTTTCCTATCGCTGCTGCTATTAATGTTTTTCTTGTCGTCGTACTAGCTTACATTCAACACACTGTTACATGTATCGTACATGCATGGAGCTGTCCGCATAGCTCATTGAAACAAATTATCCGCAACTCGATGCGATTGTGACAAAATGTGTTTCGCTTCTGTTATCACACTTGGTGATTTTTTTGCTGTCGTACATTTTTCCATTTGAATTACGCGAATAAATCTGAAATGAACTGCTAAATAAGCTAAAAATTGGAAGTTTTTTTTATTATTTTGAATGGGTTTGTTGTTAGTAGTAACTTGTTATGGGACATTCTGTCGAATTTATTGGACTTATTCAAAGTTAAATCAATGCTTGATTGTTTAAAAATATCGATTAAAGAAAAAAACACGTTAGCCGATAATGACGACGTAACAAATAAGCGTATTTGAATGAACAACTTGATAATCATTGATCTTGAAAGCCTATTCTTGCACGTCTTCTATAATTGTTTAAATAATCTCCTTTTTTCAAACAATTTTAATTTAGAACAAATGGCCAAAAAACAAATGATGAATGAACCACACTGAAAAGATTCATCTCACAATGGAGAGACTTCATATCATATCCAGAAATTGGTCAAACTCTCTGGAAATATAAAAATATAAATTTATAAATTCTTTTTATGCTTTTATTCAATACGATACACAAAAGTGAAGTTTAAATGAAGGACATTTAATCTGGCCAACAACATTGCAATTCACATCCGTTATTTCAATTGCAATATGTGATAAAAAGAAAGTGCTGATCTTTTGATCACCGCACAAACAAAATGACAATTTTGTGTGCTTTAAAATTGTGAATTGCTTGAGTTTCTACTTCAAGATTTGTTTGTCGAATAAAAATTCTCCAAATCGACCTTGTGTGGCCATCAATTTATCTAATGTTGAAATCTTTCCAGCAAGATCACGTTGACCTGTATATTGTTCTTGCAGGAATCCACCGGTCAAAAAGTCGACAAGCTAAAACAAAAATACAACACAAAATTAATATTCAAAGTTTCAGGAACAAAGTTGACATCAGTTCACATACATGATAATCATTGGTGTTATAATCATTTTCGCATTTTTCGATAACATTACGGATACTTTTGGTAACTTTTGCTTCGGTCTTGAGGGCTTGCTTCAATGCTTCGGAACCGTTGGCCCAGGACACTTTTTGGGGATTCTAAAATGGAAAAGAGCGAATTTGCTTACATATGCTTCGGGAAGATTTTAGAGAATTTGCTTCGTGGGGTTTGTGTAATTTATTTAATTACATTAACGCTTATCAAATTGGATACGTCATCGGTTAATTGGCCACGCATTAACAAATATTCAATTAATTTGGTGGCATGTTCTCGCTCTTCGCCAGCAGCTTTGAAGAAAAAATCGGAAAAACCATGCAAATTGACCGTATCTTTGGCGAAATGAGCTCCCATTGCCAAATATTGCATGGAAGCATCTATTTCAGCTTGAATTTGACGACGCACTTCCTTGATGCAGCCACGGGTCATGTCCAAAAAATCACGAGGAATATCAGACGATTTCTCGTTGCCTTAAAGATGAAATGAAAAATGTGTTTTTTTTTAATATTAAAAGAGAAATATTTTATATTAAAATTCTCACAAATCACAAGAAAATATTTGAAAACCTATGAAAAATTGAGTATTGAATGCAAACAAAGAACATATTTTTCAAACAAAGAATATGACACACATTTTCATTTCAGGACAAAGAAATATTATTCGTTCACAGTTTTGCTTGATGCACATATTCCAAAACTATGTGTTATCGAGAAATACATTCAATTGTTTTAGTTGCAAAATTAAAAAATAGACATTGTTTCAAAAATCACAAATTCCAATGAGATCAAAATCAACTTTTTCATTCAAAATTCACTTACACTTAAGTCGCGCGTGTGCCGAAGAAATAGCAATCGAAAGCAAAACTATGAGTGCGAGCACTTTCATTTTGATTTAATAAATTTGAATCTATTTATAATAAGAAATAATATTTAATTTATTTCGTCTTCACTTTTCAAACGATCAAAACGGACTGACCGACTGAATGTTGTTCAGTTGAGTTTGTGAAACAAGGAACTTAATACGAATCACAAACGTTCCAAAGCATTTTGTGAACCTGAATTTAAAGCAGTATCGTCGACCTGAGTCAGAGTGAGACGAAAAAGCATGTGCAATGAAGTTTCAAATTATCATATTAATCACTTAATGCCATTGTTCAAAATCCATTATCACTACTACGTGAGGAAATCCACGAAAAATTATCAATCTTTTTTCCTAAGCAAAATGCTGATAGTTAGTTCATTGGTATGATATTTATTGCCTTATAATCACTTATATTTTCCTTTATCGATTGATTTTGAATGACGTGAAATCCAACATTTTTACTATACCCTTCTTTTTTACTCCTTCTTTAAATTGATTACATTTCTTTGTTTAAATAAGTGAATTGCAATAAAATGCAAATAATAAAGGCACTTTTATAAACAAATATTAGAATGAACTTTCGTGTCATATACTTGACACCATTGGATACAAGGTTAAATCATCTGATGTTCAATTCTATTTATTTAATAAAAATAAAAAACTTTTTTTTTCTTTTCGCACCGTGTGCACTCTTTTATTTTTTATTGTAAAAATACAACTTATTTGATTCGCAATTTTTCAATCGATCGTCCTTGGATAAATTAGTTGAGAATAATTTTTTCCAATTGGCGTGTTTTTTTTTCAATCCGTAAATATTTTTTCTTTTCATTTTTGTCGGCATTTGTATACCAATCATACTACGCATGATGTTTCTTTAATAAATCATCTAAAATTACGTCCATGTCAGTATCAAAAACAGCCAAAGATGCTTTCCTGACAATATAATTTTTTTGCTCATCGGTGGTGGGAATCTTCATTGGTTTTTTATCTTTGGTTTTTAACACAATCAAGTTTTTACATTTTTGCGCATAACTATGAGCATAACGAGTTATTTCAATTGCAGTCCAGTTGATTTTGGGATGTGTTGGTTCATGTGTGCGAATGCACAATTTGGAATAATTATCACGATAATCAGATGCTGAACTATAACAAAATGTGTTATGTAGAAAAAATATATGCACGTATATGTATACTTTGTGCATACAAAATGTAATATCGTTTATTCAATTTTCATTATGATGTATCTATTTTTATTCCATCCATTTGCATTAATATAAGGCCAACCCGACACAAAAACAACATAATTTATACGTTCTATACAGATAATGTGCTAAGATTGCTAGCTTTATTTTTATTTTTTAGCGTGGACGATCCGATGCAATTGGTTGAAGATGCTTTGCTCGAGCACATCCATTACCGATGTCATTGAACGATGATGATCCCAATTCAAAGTATCATTTCTTCTTCAAACTTAGCAAACCAGCATCATACAATTTGGGTCTGATGAATGTTTACAAGATTTATAAGTTTGCAATAAGTTTGCTCAAGGTCAGCGTTCTATTTGATAGCGATAAAAAAAACGGTTCCTTATGCATTTAGTTTATCATCATGTTCTAATTTCCAACTCAAATGCATTTGGGAGTGAAAATAGTTTGTTTGTGTGTCATGTTTCTTCTCTAATGAATCACTCATGTACTCCCAACATTATCAATTGTGTTGAATTTCGATCATATGTAATCGATTTGTTTTATTCAACCGAATATCAAAAATTACACTTAAATTTTTTGGTCCATGATATATACCAGTGAGTTTGTTGCAATTTTGGAAGAAAAATTTTCGGGCTTGAATGAGAATGTATCTGACATTGAATCAGAGTGGGGCCTTTTCAAAAACACTGTTCTGGGAAACAACGTACTCAACCGCTGGAAGGAATATTTTGATGACTTATTGAACGTTGACAATGGATTTACTGGACAAATTGGACGATATGGAGAAGAAAATATCATCGATGGGATTGCGCCAGGAGAAATAACAACGCTATGTATACGTGGATGACGATGCTTTGAATGTATGAGTGTAAAACGTTGCTGTTATGCACACAGTACAGCGCATCGCAGACTACTATTTGCAGTAGAAACCATTTTTCGAACGTTCCGATTGCTTGGTTTGGTTTCAAGTAGAACCAAAAAAATTGTAAATATCTGTCCAGAATAACAGCTGTTGCGTACTTGGTATTCGCAGAATATTATATCGTTAATAATATTATAATTATCATGGTTTTTTTTACAGAAACTTAATTATATTTTCCTTACTCAAATGTAAATTAGATCATATTGCACAACATCTATTCGCTATTATGTCATCGTTTTTAAGCCATCTTTCTGAAACAATAGTATGCTGCGATTCTAGTTTCCTAAAACAAACTTCATCTATTTAAAGCATAAACTTCAACATTTTTGTTAAAAATTGTTTTGTTTTATTCACTAAGTAAAAATATTTGTTAAAAAAAGAGAGAATATCGAAGCCCGATCATGGTATAGGATTTCCTATATAAACCTTGTAACTAACAACACCTCTAATGTGTATTCCGAGTACTAATCGACTACTAATAATTATTTAATCGGTTTATCACGATTGTGACACAAAAGTGAGGTTATGTCAACCAATTCATTTTTATTGATTTAATATTTTTGAATATTGTGGACAGAAAATCTCACAAAATTAAAAAACAAAAAAAAAATTATTTTCAAAAATGTAAAAAATTAAAATCTATTTATTTCTACTGTTTTATTTTAACAGTTTAACGCAGTTTAATCGATTCATTATGAATTTTCCAAACCGTGACGGCCATATTGTCACAAACGTCAATTAGTACTCGGAATACGCATTAGAGGTGTTGTTAGCTACGGGCATGATCAGGCTTCGGAGAATATAGAAGATTTTTTATATTATATTTAAAATTAATTTTGAGACTTTTTTTTTGCTATATATGGATCATTCAAGAGCCTTGCAAAAAGTAAGCTGTTTTTAATTATGTTTAGTTGACAAATTCAATGTTTACAATGAGTATAAGATTTTGAAAAAGTTCGTTTTCTATCTGAACTTATTGTGAATTAATGCGAACGCGCATTAATTCGCCATAAATATTCATGACGAAAACAACTTCTGCACACCATTCAAATTGGCCATATTTTCGCAAAAATGAAATACATTTGTCAAGGATATATCGTATTTTGTCATCTTCAAAGGTTTGCTTGTAAGAATGGTTTGCATAAATGTAACGATAAACTGGATCAGATAAAATCTGTTGACGTTTTGCTGATGATGTTTGCCGCAAACTCGCATCCATTCGCAGTGGAATACATGAATTCAGAATCGGTTCACCTTTTTTAGATACATAAATGATAAATGATATTAAATATAGCGAATCAGCTAGCTTTTATTTCATATTTACCTTTTTTTATTGGTCGAACTGCAACGCCAACTGATATACCATCGCCACGAATGCTCAACATGTTTGGTTTAGTTGAATGCTTGAAATATGTTGCCATCAGACCAGATTGAGCATTATTAATTTGTGACTTCATCGATATTTCGTCACCTTCCACGATACCCGTTTGGTTAATACTGTTACAGCAAGGTTCGTGGCAACCGAGTAGTCCATGTTGAGCAATAAGATGCATCAAAAATCGACGGTGTTTCTTTGAATTGAACATTTCATTGATTTTTGGAATTTTCAAGATGGCATCATAAATGGGATTGATTTGATAGTCAGACGATTTAATACAGTCGACACAACTTTGTTGTCTTAAATAGGCACGATATTTTGACTTATTATCAGCTAAATTTTCCGGCAATTTTTTCGATTTATCCTGTATGGTTTGTTCAATAAAATCCATCATTTCACCAGCGGTCGAAAAGATATTGATGGCTGATAACGTAGTTCGAATTTCTCTCGTAAGTGATATATTCACAAGCGGATGATCACACCATTTGGAACCGCATTCGTATTTGTGAATGACACTCTTCTGACATTCTACCGAACAAAACATTGCAACCGCACAACCGTCACATGGCATCAAATTTGTTAGCGACTTCAAACAAATATTACATTTCGATCCAAATCGATTGAAAAGAACCGAAATGAATGATCTCTCGACCACAAGTACTTGACCCACCATTATATCTTCTTTAGCAACAACCGTTGTGTTACCATTGATGTCTTCTTCAACGTCCAGCACATTTGCCATGCATGGAAATTTTTGGTTTGGATCAAAACTTAGTTTCGCTTCAAATTCATTGCATTGTACGCCATCGTTCATGTATTGCAAACAATTCGCTTTACGTTGATCTAACTTCGTCATCAAATTCGCTGGATAGCCGGCCTCTTTGGCAAATTCAATATCCTTGAGACATTTCTTATACATTTTCATTTGGAGAAAACATGAAGCACGGTTCGCATAAGCCAAACTAATGTTCTTGGATCCAACTGTAGCAAAACAAAGACTTTCATTGTACTTCTCCATTGCATTCGGCCAATCCTGTTTAGCATAATATTCATTTCCTTCTTTTCGCTTTTGCACCGATACTGAATCACATTTTTTTGGCAATGGATTTTTGTTCGTTGACAAAATCAATTCTTTTAGAATGTCTTGAAGTTCAAAATCCGTGCCGCCAGATTTCATTATATCTACATACAATGCGTTCCCCTTCTTTGATTCTTTTTGCCAAAGCATCGTAAATTCGCTGTGAAGTGAATTGAATTGTTAATTATCCCATTCCTATCGTTAAACATTAAAAAAAAAAAAAACAAATTAAATTTAAAAAAATAAATTACGTTTTGAAAGTGCTCCAAATGAGAATAAAATTGCAATTCGGCTTCTTTGGTTATGAAAAATACTTCGCTGCTCGTTGACGTTTCGTAGTATAATGTTGAGAAAAACGCAGTAACCAACTGATTCTGATGTGTGTACAATATGCATTTGTATTTGTAACGCTGAATTTGTCAGTTGGATTTTGTGACTAACAATGAAGTGCCATGTACAAAAAAAAAATGTTGAAGAATGCCGACTCTTTCTTTCCTTTGAATTTGAGCCGTATTGTTTTATTGAATGAGTAAGAATGAAACTCCATATCTCAATTCTTGCTGTGCCGTGTGGGAACTTGCATAAGTAAGAGCAGGAGGTGAGATGTGAATTTTGAATGTGTTTCTTTTCAATAGAGCCAATCATGTATTCAAAATGAAAATGATGACAGTTTTTATAAGAAAATTGTTTTTAATAAAAGCGCTTTATGAAAGTAAACAATTATGTAACAAATAAACAAAAGACATAATGGATTCGAAAATAGAACGTTCATTAGATTATTTTTATAGCTAAGTATGTATGGAAACTCTCAGAAAAAAATCATATATTTTTGTATATACTATATCTGTTGATTGTATTTGTCTTCTCATAATTATGCACAACTTGCTATGAAAGACAGATTCCACCACAATGTGTAATATTGATGTGTTGTTGCAACATTTTGTGTATACTTTCAATGTGCATCTTTTGTATTGATCTCTCGAAATAAATATACTTCAGTTATTTTTTTTTGTTTTGCTTCGGAGCCAATTAGTCAGCAATAATAATCGGTAACAATACAAAATGTTTAAAAATCAAAATGCCGAGTTCTTGATTTCTGAGTTTTTTCATTAGGGATCAGTTAATTCTGTATATTTTAAAAATATTATTTGCACAAGGAGTTTAAATGAAGAGTTTTTGACTATGTTTTATATTGATGAAAAATGTTTTGTTTTGTTTAATTTTGAAAAATGATCAAGAAATTTATTTTGGAATATTTATTGCGCCATTATACTGGATATCAAATGCTTATTTGTATGATTAAGGATCACTTGTTTTTGTTAAATCATTTTTAACATTGCAGTTGCCAAGCAATGTGGAAATTTTATTCGTTCGCTTGGAATCAAAATTATTGCCAGATAATTTTATTTCGTTCGCGACACAAATATATTGTGTGTAATGTAAATTAACAAGATTTAAATTCGACAGATCTATCAGTGTGTCGCGATTCTTTTCTAATGCTGAAATCCAGTCAATTAAGCCACGTTCTATGCTCCATTTGTCTGCCAAATCTGAATAGTATCCTGTGCGATTAGAATCATACATTTTTAGTTTATCCAAAAATTCCAACGACGCAGCATGGTATTCCTTGCGATTTACTGCACGCATGAGTAAAGCAGCTGTCAGCAGTGTCCCTAAGTTATGTAGAAAATATATATTAATATATCAAAAATATTAATAAGCTGTAATAATAAATGTTTTCCTTACATTTACTCTCCGGTTCGTATTCGAGTAATTGCTGGCATGAGCTCAACTGTTCTTGCAGCACATTCAATACTCCAGATCCAAATTCAAATCCAAAACGTGGCATTTTTATTCCGAATAAGCCATCATTACTTTTGGTAATTTGTAAGCTGTGTGAATTGTCGTCTTCATCAACAAATGACAATTCAAAAATGGAATTTCCCTCATTGTTCAATTCGAATGTGTCTTCCAGTTTCCATACTGAATAATGTTTCACAGGAAATTCGCTATCGATCGGTTGCCATTTGTTTGTATCGAATTTGGTTGTAGCATCCAAACTGATGGAACATTTGTAAAGGTCAACCGGACGTGTGAATGCTATCAACGCGTATGTTTTGGTCAGTTTAAATGCAGCTATGTCCAATTCTTGCTCTGAATTGCCTGATAAAAAAAAGATATATCGTGATCACAAATATTTCAGTTATGAATTCAATGGAAAATTACCAAGAAGCCATCGTTGATAAAACCAAGCGCTACTATCATTTGGATCAGTGAATGCAGCGGTTAAGACCAGTTCCAATTCATTGCGTAGTATTTCTTCGTTGATTGGACGCGTCTTGTCCGTTTCGTGCGGATATAAAACAGGCAATAGTTTGCTTCTCTGATGCCAAGATGAATAATTAGAGAAATTCTTTTGAATTTTTTGCGTGCAAAATTCTAATTCATCTTCTGGCTTCACGTTGGCGTGTTTCACAGCATATCGACGATAGTCCCAAACGTGAACTACATATATAAAAAAAAAATCGGTATAATTTTGATTAAGTATAAGAGAAATAGAAGTAATTTAATTTGATAAGCGGTAGAAAGAACATTCGCTTACAATTGCGTTCATCCAACTGTAAGTATTTTGTGCATAGTTTGACTTCATCGTCCCATTTGGGTTCGGTGATATTTTCCAAAATCCAACAACGGTGATGCCAGGCACAGTATGATTTTGGATTCACTTGCAAACATGTTTGAGTGAGCTGTAAGTCCTTCGTGTACGTTTCTTGAACTTCGTCCGGTTTATCAGCTTTTAATTTCAATAGAAATTCACGACGAATGTTCCAAAGAGTAAACACGTCTGGATTACGTGACAAAACTCCAGTCGTAAGTTGCATAATTTCGGCATCATACTGTTCGGCGGCTCTTTTTTCAATGATTTTCGACATTGCCACACGATATGCCTTCACTTTCAGTGCCTGTTCATTTCGTTTTCGTTGCGCCTCCTCCTCGGTTGTTCTAACTTTCAGTCGACCGTGCTACACAGAAAACAGACATTTATGCATTGTGTGAATGGTTATGTATTTGATTGTATAGCACATTTATTGGAAATAACTTGCCATTTTGGATAATTTTCAATTTTGTAATTTTCACCGAACAGTTTAAACAGAATGACAAAATTTATTTGTAAAAAATATTTATGATTCTATGCAAGAATCAATTTTTTGGTTGGAATAACTCAAGTGACGTTGGCACAGTACAAACAAACAATGACTCAAAGTAGAAGTTGTCAATGTCACAATGAATGCGTTGCGATACAGTGGAGTGCGTTTCTTGCCCAGGCCTTTTGTATTCGAATTATTATTTTTGTATGGACTATTGCAAAGACTTCTATTCAAACGTTACACACTCAGACATTCAATGAAAATAAACGATTAACGGATCTTTATATTTGGAATAAGTAAAACTATGGTATTATTTTTTACTATAAAAATGATTCTCATAATAACAGGAACTTAATTTGGAACAAATACGTGGATTTACGTTATCAGTTTTATGACAAATATTAAGATTTTCAGAAATAAATCATTGGAACCAACTCACTGTATCCGTATCCATTTTCTACTTAACCTACATTTTCTATTTTCTTTTATTTGAAAAACAAACTCAAAAAGCATGACTGCTTTTTCATTCATATGAAGTTTAGTTAATATAATAACGATGTAGGTGACAGTCCAAGATAAAAAACAAAATTTAAAATGAATTATCATCTACTACTTTATGGTATTAATAGGCCATCCAGTCTAGTATCAGAACCGGATGTATATTCAAAATGCCGGCGAGGTCGAATTTTTTTTTTCTAATTCTAAGTATACCACAACTCAAAAAAAGTGTACCTCGAAGTTGAAAAAATATTCATGGGTCAATATTTCTGTATATTCAACTTGCCGCTAGGCTTCACTAGCACGGAAACTATTTTTACCTTGCAATTCGTACGCGACCGTTTTTTGCACACTTTATTAAAATAGCTAGTTATTCATCTCAGGTTGTCAAACGAAAAGGTTGCAAATGTAATATTCTTATCTTTGATACGTAACACGAATGGTTTTTTTCTGTAAAACGAATTAAGCACATTCTCTTATTGCTTTTAAGATGAATGACCAAGAATTCGATTTGTTTATTTTTTTTTTCCATTCCACATCTTCGACATCATTTTGAAATGCACGACTTCAAGATAATGTGTGATTACAGAAAAGTATATAATACGGTCGTGACTTCGGAATTTCAGTTATATTTGAACTGTTGACGAAATCACATTGAAAAAAAGAACAAAATGAAATTGAAAATCTTGCTCGTGGCTGCTTTGGTTAGTGAATTTTTTTCTGTTTTCTTAGCTTCTCCTTATTATTGTGCTTGAATTCTTTCATACTTTCAGTTTGTGGCTCAAGCGATCGCACAAGAAGATGTTACCGATGTGGAAGTAATAAAAGCAGAATCTACCAGTGAAGAAACCAGTGGGGAAACTGGTGAAGAAACTACTTCCTTACCTGATGAAAATCCATCACAAAGCGGTAACGATGAGTACATAGATTCCACAACAGCTGAAAATAATGATTCGAATGACAGTACCGAAAGTCAATCATCTGAGACTACCGAAGCCACGACAACTATAAACATTCCAACAACCTCTTCTACACCGGTACCTGAATTTAGTTGCACTTCTGTTGGACGATTCGCCGTTCCGGGTAGTTGTGAAAAATATTATTATTGTTGGGATGCTGTACATGCGTATGCGATATTTTCCTGTTCGAAAGTGTTCGATCCGGTAACCAAACGTTGTGTTGAAAATTATGGTGTATGTCCTACAGCACCAAAATGTGAAGCCGACAAACAAGTTCTACCGAACCCTGACGACAAATCCTCATTCTTTGAATGTAGATTAGAAAAAAATTCCATTCCATCGGCATATGAAATTCGTCGCGAAGATTGTGAACATGGGCGAGAATTTGATGAAGAATTGGGTTTTTGTAAATTAATATCGCCAAATGAATGGACATCGTCGGAAGTAACCACGTCGGAACATGAATGCACCAGAGTTGGAATATTCATTGATGAAAAAAGCGACACTCACTATTATGAATGCATTGTAAAGAGTGTGTCAAAAGGTATTTTAAAATCAATACGACGTAAATGTCCAAAGTATTGGATTTTTAGTGGCGCTGATAAGAAATGTGTTCCACTTTGAACAATGAAACGTGCCAATTGTCGCTTTTTCTAAAATGAACATGATTCTCTTAAAGGCATTCTCTCTTTATTAATCATTAGTGTAGTGCATTTTTCTTCTTTTATTGAATTATTGTAGTTTCAACGAATGTCGAATTTATTCAAATTTCAATAAAAATAAAAGTTTTGATTTATCTTTGATGGAATAAGTGTTTGTTCTATGAAACTAAGCGAATGAAAATAGGAGTTGTTTGTAAAATAGATTTTATTAAATTTGCAATTGTCAAATTATTCGGTTAATTTATTATATTTTGGGATTTGCTGAGAGACTGGCCATTAAATTTTCCATTTTATTCAAAAAGTTTTTTCCCTCCAGTTTTTCGAAACGAATCTGAAATTCGAAGAAGAAAGTAACATAATTAAATTGTGATTGGAAAAACAAATAAAGCGACAAAAAATGAAGAAAAAAAAATACCTCTCTGAAATTGATGTTTAGTTGATCCCAATGCTTGCCTTGAACTAGTTCGCTTTCAATGCTATTATTTTCCGATATTTGGGCCACGTAAACTTTGATATCAATATGTGGTGGATCGCAATAAATCTTAACGGCAATCAATCGATCACCATTTGGTGAGGCTAAGAGGCATGAGGTTGCATTACCGAGCGGTTCAACACGACCAATACCCAAATGATTGCTATTCGATAATGTTTGCCATGCCATACACTTTGCAACCAATTGCAATCCGGATATTTGATGCATATTAATTTGGCACAAAATCAAATCTCTCAATTCTTGTGGTTCATATGACATGAGCATGACGCGACCATCGCGTGTAATGCATTTCAAACTTCGTTCTTTAACATGAATCGACAACGTTGTACGGCAAACAGTATCATAGCCATAAGTGACGATGTTGATTTTAACACAAGACATTGTTGGGCTATTCATTGAATTCCAATGTGAAATAATTTGTGGATCTTTGACGTCACGGGCTAATGTATCCAACACGTACTGTGTTCGTTTCCGCATGAAAATGTGTTGAGCTTGTGCGATGATTTGTTCGAGAAGTGTTTGAGATTTTGTCATTTCAAGCAATTCATAACGATCGGCAGCCATTGGGCCGGCAAGCATTCGTTTCTTCGACGCTACCATCGGACCACCGTGAATATGGTGCGGCAATGGCAGATGTGTATTTTTGTAATGCACCTCTCGCAACAGTTGATGCAGTGAATGCTCCAAAACATGATCATGATCAGTAATGGGTCCCGAGCTTGCTGAATCAAATGTCGTTGAATGACATAAACTGATGATCAATTGAATGCCAGATAAAAGTGTGGCTCGAATTTGATTGCCAACAACAACATGCGGAATAGCTGCCTGAATTTGAACTGCTTCGCGGGCCAGTTGATTGAACAATTCTTTGCAAAAAAGTACATTCTGAGCATATTCCAAGCTCTTTTGCCAAATGCCTGCTTGATGTGTTATATTCGGTCCATGTCCCATTAAATTCACAACGGCCGTACACAAATCTTCTTGATCTTTTTGTGTAATAACTTTAATATAGGCAACACCTTGTAACTCCGATGGAACGGTGACCCGAAGTGCCGAATTTGGCTTTGGAATCGTTGATGTCGGTGTCGATGGTTGTTGTTTCTCTGTGTCTGGTTCATCTTCGGCTTTTGTTACCTCAAAGGTGCCATTATGCGGAAATTTTGAACCGGCCGTTTTGTAACTTAAGTCACCAATAATTGTGTTTCCGACCTTTTTCAATCGCCAATTTTGGCGCAGTCTCAACAGTTCGATGTGAAAATCAGATACGTTTCGGTTATTTTTCGCTTCGCTTTGTGAGTTTCGTAGTTGTTCGGCACCAGTAAGTAGTATATTGGCTGCATTCGATAGTGCTTTTTTACGTGCAAAAATTTGAACAATCGGTTTAATTGTTTGTGTTTCTTGAGGGACTGGATCTAATACCATGTATTGTTTTCGTTTGGCTATTGACAATACATCGGATAATACACATACTTCAGTCATTGCATCTCGTAGTTTGTTACGAACCGAATCCCATGGCCATAGATTGGCATTGAATCGATCCGCATCCTTCATTTCTTCATCATCTTTTTCCTCTTTGATTGCCATTGCTTTTGATGCAACACCACTCGTTGATGGATCCGATTCATCCAAATCTTTGCTAAAATCAATTCGACATGCATTCCGAGTCAAACTCTCCGATAGTGTTAGCGGCCTAAAAATAATACATAAATCAATTACACTGTAAAACGATGCATTGAACACTGCTATACTTACGGTTGAAAGATCTCACTCCCATCGTAGGTAATCTCTTGAATTACATTTTCAATAACTGATTCCACCGAAATATTAACGGATTGTGCCATTTTTATTATTGTTATTTTCGCATATTATTATTGGCATATGAAAAAGGAAACAAATGTCAAACTATCAATGGTTATTTTATTGTTTGGCATCGGCTTCATGCTTACTGTCAACACGCATTCCCAACTAATCAAAAATACGATACTTCGTATGATAACTCATACGAACGCGTTACAGTAATGCAAGTGTTGTTGGTTGGGTTGACATATAGGAATGCCATCTAACGGCAAAAATGACCAACAAGCCACGGATCATTTTCAACAAAGAACGATTCTGTGCGAATTAATTCAATAAATTTTGGTAAATTTCCAAAAAATAAAAATAATTTATTTTACACTCTTAAACAGTTTTAATTGATACGTGATGGTGTTTTAATTATTTTCTTAAATAGAGAATAGATTTGAATACATAATAGGGTGTTTCCCATATCTGTAAATAGAAAAATGGTATTTTTTAATTGAAAGTAGACAAAATTCTATGCTGGTTAGTAGCATCGATACAACAAAGCGATTTATATCAACACTTCCCGAAGCGAAAAACGATTGTTGCCTCTGAATATGGATATCAATCACTCCATTATATGAATAAAATCTCATAGTGAAGAATACTTACAGAAAAAAACACCTAGAAGTACTTCCTCGAAATGCTGAGACACAACAGTCAGTCTCAGTTAATGTAACAAATTACAATATTAATTTTTGATTAATTTTCGAGTACGAATGGTGATTGGTGATGCTTAAGGCTGCTGATTCGGTTGAACTGCTGGCTGTCGCGGTGATCGTCTCTCTAATCCTGCCGGAATATCCCATCCAAACAGCTCACAATGTCCTATTCAAAAGTAAACACACACACGGAAATAATGTATAGATTATTGGCAGAAATGATTTTTTTTCTTAAATCTATACAAATGTCATTAAATATTGCATACATATTTATCATCGAGCGCTAAAATAGATCATTCAAATAGTGTGCATTTCATTTAATATGTAGAATATATGCAAATGCAAATTTCTAATACACATACCTTTGATGAGAATGCATTTGGCGGCGACGATATCACGATCCCAAGATGTCTTGTGTACAGCCATTAGTAGTTGCTCGTCTTCGATTTCCAATTCATTTTCATCATCGACTGCATATGGCTGTTGAACAGTTGCATACGGTGCATCAGCATTGACTTGAGCATATTCCAATTTACCACTCACTGTGTTTACTTGCCAATTTTTTGGATACACGGCCACCTTAGACAGTAAACGTTCAGCAGCTATATCGAATTCTTGCTCAGTCATGAGTCCTTCTGCCCAAAATCGCATCAAATAAAGTTCAACCTCATCTTTGTTGTACCTCAATTGCCGTTTGCTGCGCTGTGCTACGATTTTTGATGGTAAATATTCGGCGAAAATTGAATCGGGCTCCGCTCCACAATTTTCACACACTTTGAATCGATGGCTCCTTGTGGCTGGATTAAATCGTCGCCCACACTTTGCACAATGCTGCGATGTACCCCACTCATCTGTTTTGCGCACACGACAATTGCGACGTTTTCGAAAGCCTTTGAGTAGTTTGCGCGTACCTGGAGCTCTCACATGCTTTTTGATTCGAATGCACGAGTTTGGTGATATTTCTGCATTTCCCATGTGAATAATTGCGGCTTTATGATTGACCAAATTCCCAGTGAGTTTATCAACGGTTCGATTCGATTCGACGTACTTGTCAAACTGCAACAGCGTGTATTTCGGTGTTGTATACACGGCCATTCCTTTCTTGAGCATTTTGATACGATGATGAACGTAATCAATCCAGAGTATGCCCAGTGGTGATGGCATTCGCTGATACAATTGTCGATTATTTCGATCGTCCTGCTCCTCTTGGGTGAACTGCTTCGTCCATCGTTTTGCCTTTACATCGCGCGTCTTCTGCTTTGCCAGCCAATGGTACTTCTTACTGGACGTTTTCAAGTTGACCTGAAATGGAAAAGTGAAGAAAAAAATTATTCACGTAACTGTATCACTTTCTATTTCTCAATAATGCCAAAAATTTAAACACTTACTTCTTTCTTCGTTTCGATATTTCGACGAACTGTGGCATTCCATGTTTTCATGCCTGGATCGATTCCCAGTTCGTAAGCAAATTTTCCGCCGATGAATTGCTTTCGAAGAATATCATCATTCTGCATCTGTTGCTCGTATTGCTTTGACATGCGATACATAATCGACACAGATTCACCGTTGCTGACGATGGTATAATGGAATTCTTTGTTTTTCTTCAGTTTTCGATTGATGGTCGTTAAATCGAATACTTGATTCCAATAGAATTCTTTGTTCTGGCGAATGTAACTTTCGGTTGCTTGTCTACCATCAACTTGTGGAAGTTGTTTCGATTCGGCCAGCATTCGATAGAAGACATCATTGCACATGAACACTGCCTTTCGTTGATAATCAGGCAATGGAACAACCGAGAGATTTTTGATATTTGGTATCTTCACATTGTTATCTTGCGCCCAATTGTGCCACTCATCGATTTCTGTCTGCATAACGAGCCACATTGCAGTTGCTTTGAACCAATAATCGCCTTTTGAAAAATCCTTGATGTTGTGATCATTGGTTGGGCCACCAACTTCTCGAACAATTGCAGTAACCATGCCAGTAAGTAATGTTCGCTTGTGTCGTTTGAAATCTGCATTTTGATGAGTGTCACGGATCGCATTGTAGCCTCGAATCATCAAATCGACTGCATTGTCAATGTCCTTCTTGTCGAATTTCCAACCGGTAGACACTGCGTTGAATTGCCACGCTCGCATTCGCAGATAGTTTTTCAATTTCTTCTTGCAGTGTGTCTTTTGACCGGTTTTCAAGCATCGCGTGTGATTTTGGCACAGCGTTTTAAAATGATTACCAAAATAATCGTTCTTGGGCCAGGCGAAATTATTTTCTGGACTGAGCTCTTCGACAAACTGACGGAAATGTGGCTCCATATTCTCACCTTCTTTGTTTTTTTGCAAGACGGCATAGAAACATTGCTCAATCACTTCTTCGCCACGATTCTTTTCAACGAGCTGTCCTTTCTTCTTTCCTTTTTTGGCCGGATACGTTCGGTTTTTAAAAAACTCCCACTGTCGATTCATTTGTGCCGATTTCACTTTATCCAAGAAAAGTAATGATGCCAAAACGGTGATTTTCGTTGACATTATGCTTTTCTGTTCGATCCACGGTTTGACAATGTGATTGAACTCTGGTCGCAAAATTGTGTTGAGGCGCATTTTAATAGCGAACAATCCATTATCGTTTACATCATCATCAGCATCCTTTTCTTTTTGCGCATTCGTTTGAAATTTGTATCGCTTTTTTCTTGGCGCTGTAGCAGCCGTAGTTTCACCAGTCGTTGACATGTTGAACTAAAACGAAATAAAAAAAAAACACACGCGCAACTTAGAACACAAATAAAATGACAAATATATTTTCTGCACTGTGTAATTTTTGTAAATGAATTGAATCAATAGGAAGCACTGAATATATGGGGACAAAACTGACACTTGATGTTACCTGATTGAATGTTAAGCGTGAAGTGATTCAAAATCGACAAATTGAGTGATATTAACTCTTTTGAATGCAACATATAAATGCAAACCACACCAACACGGTCCAAAGTTGAATCAAAATATTTGCAGTTTCAGCTTGTGAATGTTATGTTATTATCAAAACTAAACAAAATCAAACACAAAATTCACCGCAAATATCTCGTTTGAAAACAATCGGTTGACAATGATTCCAATAGAAAACCGCCTACAGCGGAAAATAAACTTCTTTGAAAGCAAGAAACAAATATAACATACACTGACACAATCCAAAAATATGTTTTAGCACTTTTATCAATCGAATCCAATGAAATTATGACGATGCAAATTCAAATAAAAAAAACATTGATTCTGACAAGTTTCAACACGATCGTTTCATTTGAACCAACACACTTCTCCACATTCCGATGGTTCTGTGTCGGAAGCATTCTTATATTGCACACATTTTTTGTTTATAAAGCGTTTGAATAAGAATGTATGGTACGGAACCAATAAACGGAATCACAGTTTGTATGTAAACACTTAAGAGCAAAAGAAACGGAATGATTATTATTATTAGCCTATCGCGATGGATATAAATGTGTATGTGTTGTATGGACTGCTTGGTTCAAATCATAAAATGATTTTACAGGCCAAAAAAACAGCTGACACAGCGAACAACACGATTCTGAAAATGCGTTGAATATAAATACTTTCTTTTGTTTATTTATCGAATTCTAAAGAATCGCAACAATATTCTATCAAAGCGAACAGTGTCGATATACGTGCAAACAGCAAAGAGAATTGTACTTCAAATTCTAATCAACTATATTTTCAGATATGTTTTCGTTTCGGGAAGTGCTAAAATCAATCGCTTCGTTATATGAATGCCATTTACTAACATAGAATTTCGCCTTCTTTGAATTAAGAAATACCATTTTTTTATTTGCTGATACGGGAAACACTCTAATACATAATCTGATTAACAAAAAAAAAACTATAAATCAAGCGTAATTGCTCCTTGGAATGTGCACAGTAAAATTGTGATACAAGGCTAAAAAAAAACAAAATTCAATTTAAATCTAAATTTCGGTATAAAAATCGGGTCGACCGATATTCAACATTTTGAAAACATTCGGCAAAAGACAGTTTACAATAAAACCAATACTGCTGTAGACGAAGAACTTGTAGCTGAGCTCCACTATGATTTTGTCGCGATTCTCTAAAGTACTCTCTGACGCTTTGACCTCATTTTGATCCCGACCCAATAGCATACAAACGACGGCATATGCAATGGATTTTCCAAGTGCTCGTGTTGCAATCACACCACATAAACCCAAAATAGTTCTTAATAAGATTAAGCCAAGCATTCGTTGAGTTGGCCAAATGATTTCATAAGGACGCGTCGAGGTTATTTCTGGTGGTTGAAAAGCACCCAGTTGATAATTTAACCAAGCTCCCATCAGAATTCCTGTTCCCACACTGATGATTGTCGTTGTGTCACCACGCGTTGGCGTCCATTTTTCTGAGCAGGGGTAATAAATAATCAACAAAATTGGAATACCGATCACAAACAACGGTGAAAATGTCGAAGATAGAATGATGTGATCCAATTTATCGACCAACGGTATAAGTGGTATCATAAGTAGAATCGTCAAAAAAATTCCAGCAATTACATCCTGAGAATGAAAATTCGATTAAAAGGATCATTTTATCGAAGGTGTTTATATTCACTTACAGCAACGCTATGCATTCCCAAGTAAATGCGACTAACACACACGATTAAACACCAAACAAACGCAATAAGGAACCCATTGGTAGCAGAGAATTGGTATCTGTCAAATAAATGTAATAGTCCATTGTAAAAAAGAAATGACACCAGTGTATTATGTGATTTTTATAGAAATAAATGTCTGACCGGTCGAGCATAAAGATAACAACAGAAAACGGCATAGCAACTGCGACCTGAAAATGATAAACAGAAGAAGAAAAAACATCACAATTCTGTCAAAAAATATTGTGTTGTTAATACTGTGGTATTTTTCAATTACCATTGCATGAGTGGAGGGCATTCCATACTCGATGGACCATTTGTTTTGTAATCTATGAACTGGTCGACCCGGTCTAGGCCATCGAATAATATCTTTTAAAACCTGTCCGATGTACATAATCACCGACCATATAAACACTGTGCACGTTGATTAAGTTAATTAAAATGACGTTTGATAAAAATAAATTCGAAATGTTTTCCATTTCTAAACTGTTCTAATAGATAACTTACCTACACGTCGACCCACCGCTCCATCGATATTCCAAAACCAAAATGGAATCATTGTTGCGTAGAATATTTCATCACCTATTTTCAAATAAAATTCAAGACATATTTAATGAAGTAGCATAGCTTTCATTTTATTTGTAGCAGAAAGAAGTTGTATAGAATATTTCATCGTCTATTACCTAGCTCCGTGCCAAGCAGAAATAAATAATACCAAAATTTATTTGTTATTTGATAGGATCCAGTTGATTCATCTACATTAACACTTTCTTCTTGCGATTTTTTAACATCTGATGCACAATCATCGCTTATTTGCTTTCGACGTTGCTTTTTGTGTTCAGGATAGTTTGAATATTGTTTTCGCATTTCTAAATTTGGTGATATGTTATTTTGACCATAAAATGTTTGCTCTTTTTCAATTTGGTCATATGTATCATCATATTCAATACCAAACCATTCTTGAACGGTTACCACAAGTTCTGGTTTCCTTAAGTATTCAACAATCGACCACATTTTATTTTCACTGTTTATTTTTTCCTGATAATATTTTCTATATATATTGATGTTTCTGCATTGAATATGCACTATGCATGGTCTTGCTTTGACTGATATTATTTTTCTATGACAATCGATATTTAGTTCAAATGTCTTCAAACGTCACATATAGTGATACGAACTTAACAGGTTTCATACGAAATGTGCATAAGTCAAAGAAAAAACGATACCAAGCAATGCCAAGTTAAACAAACATCAAACACTGGCAATAGGAAAAAATACGTTAAATCACAATAAATCTCATGGATATTTAACAAAATTAGTTAAAATACCTTCTACAAAAATTATAACAAAGTAATAAATTAAAGTCCAAAGATTTTCGAATCGAAATTATGACAAATTTTAACATTTTCGCGAAGAAATCATTTGAAAATATGCAATAGAAATTCGAAATTCATTTCATTTCAGCGCGTTTGCATGGCAATTTTCGTATTTTTGGTAGCCCTGTATTTTATTTTCGGTTCAAATTCCCCTCTACCGAATTCTATTTTGTTGACAGAATGTTGGCAGCAGTGTAGCGTCTAACCGGTGGCTTGTAAAAATGCACACCAAAACTGAACCGATTTGGTCTTCATCAGAATCAAATGGAATCAACAGCGATTGTGCGAATATGTGTGTGTATATGATTGTATGTACGCGTGTGTGTATTGATACCTGTATGGGTGTGAGCCCTATTAAATTGGAGTATGATCAACGTTTTTCCTTAACAAAATAAATTTAATCGAAATGTGCTCGCACTGAATCATCCAAATACACACCAATTGAATCATCCACACCCATACACACAGATTGAATAAAGTAATGTAATCGATGAATAAAAAATAAATTTATCGGGAAAAAAGAATAAAATAATATCGCGAAATTCAATAAATGTGAAACTCTGAATTGGTCAATTCGATTGCATTTAGAATAAAATCAACAATTGATGCGTGCATTTAACCGAAAATCGGTATACTTTTCCATGGTTATTACCCCTCTACTCACACACTCATGCGTATAAACCGCTCATAAGCGTTCTTTCTCTATCTCACAAACATTGAATACTATATTTGATACACACTCTCGTAATGAAATATATACACGGTGTATGTATAGGCTGTGGAGTATTCCTGCCGCTACTCGATCGCATTTCAGTAAAAGCAGTCACAAGCATTGAGCAGACAGTTTTACATGTATCGGTGAAGTGAGTAGTTGTGTTTCAGTTTTATAGCCAATTTTCATCTATCGTTTTTTCCATTGCGTCTCTTAGTAAGCGTGCATAAAATTTTGTTTCGTTACAATTTATCAAAAGCAAGAAAAATAAGGTTTCATATTTTGAATTTGAATTAAATCAAATACCTGTTCGAATGTAAAATTTTGAATGTTCGCAAAATCGAACGGAAAATAAAATACAGAAGCAACATAAAAAAGGCGTTATCCAGACGAAGGATTCAAATTCGATTCGGAGACATCATTAGTTTTCTACAGAGTTTTTTTTCCCTTAGAAAATAGATTTTAAAACAGACTTTTGACATTTTTGTGATTGAGTGCACATATAGAGACATAATATTATTCGCCAAGACAATTGTTTTACGGTTACGTGAAATTCATTATCGATATTATATTTTGGATAATTCCATTTGCAAAACTAAAATCGAAAAACCAACGGATTTGTTCGGTTTTTTTGTGTTCGGAAAAAATAAATATATTTGGTAAGTGATCATAGATTTATTTGAAATTTTCAAAAAAAAGAAGAAAATTCATCAGTTTATCTCGCTTTGGTCCGCCGTTTTTTTCTTCATTTTTTTCTCTCTCTCGCCATGTGAATGTCGTTCAATTACGATTGCGTTTATAATTTAAATTGTTTATCCTTTCGCTGTTTGCAACGTTTTGAGTTTGTTATCTTTCAAAATGTAAGCGCGCATATAGTTACAATCTATAGAAGAAAGTTATAATGTGTGTGATCCAAATGGTTCAGCGATAGAGAAAGAGAGATACGTGACGGTTCATGGTTCTTCAGCTACTGTAAAGCTTAAACCGAATTGCTATGAAATGAAATGAAATGAATTCAATATGAGAGAGCCTGTGCATGATGAGTGAGAAACTAAGAGACAGCCATGCCATGCTATTCCATTGCGAAATATTGGTAAGTGAGTGTGTGCCTGAAGAAGTGAAAGAATATACACTATTAAACGTATTAAAAGCGACGGAACAAAGAATTTGGTTCGTTCTCATCTTCTTCTCGTCTTGTTGTTGTTGTTGTCGTCGTCGTCGTCGCCGTCGTCGTCGTCGTTTTTTCGCTGTGCAATTCTCTCCTTTTTCTCTCTCACTACAGAACATCTCGCCTCATTTCGTTGCTCGATTCAGTTTGATGCTATTGCCCTTTATATATTTCTTAAATTCATATTTTTTCTTGCCATACCATTTGTGTATATGTGCGCGCTCCTATAAAACATGTCTCTCGTCTCATTTTCGTTGCCGTTTCATTTCAACAACAACAATCCATGCCTATTTCAAAACTTTCTGTACATGTAAAGACGGCACATGCAACCGGTTTTTTTTCATTCGATCTTCTCTCTTTTTTTCAGTTCATTAATTTGGATCTGCAAAAATGTTTCCATTCCTTTTTTTCCTTGAGCCCAAACGGTTCGATGTGGTTCACACATACAAAATCATATATTTGCACAAATTGTGTGTGAGATTTCTGCAAAAGTGTGTGGCTGATGACCAGATCTCTCTCTCTCTCTCTCTGTGTGTGTGTGTACAAAAAATTACTTTTTTTCAAACACCATTGTATTTAGTAAGATGTGTCGCGAAGAAGCAAAAAAATTCAATTTGCTACGATTTCGCCCTTAGAATAAGACCAATGGAAACGTTTTTTTTTAATGTAATTTTTAACACTCATACAGAGAAGCAACGTTAGCATGGCATGCATTCGAATCCATGTCGTTACATGTGTTTACATGTAACGCTGAAAAATGGTCGCATCAACACATATACATGGCATACATACATACGGTGAAGCACACATACATCTATAAGCATTTTATACACACCCGATTTTCGATTCGCTCGATTTTGCCGTTTGCGAGAGTATCCGTGTGCAGCAGTGAATTGACTGAATGCTGTGCGTACCTATAGCACTTTTTCAACTGCCCGGTTATTTCGAATACGAAATATTGAAACGCGCCTTTTCCAACAGTGTGTACTACAACAACAACAGCACATTTTCAGCCTCTTATTGCATTTTTCTCTGTAGCAAATCGGTACACTTGGTGTATTGGATACGGTTTTAAATGGTACGCGCGTTGTTTCTCTCTTTCTCATTCACTGTTTTTTTGCTTATGCTCTGTGCACACACTGAGTTCGAATATATTTATATGCGCTTTGCAGAGCGCAATGTAATGGCGGGCTAAATTTTTCGTACATCGCTTTTTTTCCAGCGACGTTGTCGTTCATCTTTGTTTAATTTAAATCTCTTATGTACCGCCATAGAATTGATTTTTAATGTGATTAATTTTACTTTGCCATTCGATCGGATAAATGCGTTTCCATATTGTATTTATTTGCAAAATAATATGTATCGAATTTGCATTTTTGGTCAAACCAATGTTTTTACTAAATTATTTGGGCCACAGACACACACTCTCGTTCAATTTGATGTTTATATAATTCCCGATAACACAATATTGAACGAATATGTTATTGGCGCAATATATTTGATTCCATGCAAGCGCAGTGCGTGCTTTCAATGTGAAATATTTTAAATAAACAACATTTTTTAATCTATACACTCTTGTATATTTAATATCGTTGCAGTTGATGTATGCAAAATAACGCGTTGAACATTTCAAATTTTGTATATCAATTGGTGGCATTTTTTGTCTTTCGTCAGTTTATTCTGGTCAGAAATACTGTTGTTTCTTTATCAAATCCAATTAAAATTCATTAAAATTCTTTTCTACACATGTACAGTGCAAATCAGTTTTTATCCGTACATGGCCTCATTCGTCCGTCTCATAATTTTCAATCGTTCGTTTTCAATAGCTTTCATTAAATTTGAAAGATTACGATTCCAACAAAAAGGACAAAAAATTGGTTGGTGCAATTATAAAATTCCAGATTGAAAACGAAATGGAATCGAATAAAAAGAAACTGATAAAACAAAATGCGGGAGAAACGAGATGAAGAGTATAAAAAATATGATGATTTGAAAGCCAACAATCATTATCGAATCGATGCGGTTCATGCGTGAAATTTGTATCAAATTGTTTACTTCATTTTTGAAATTTTTGTGATTATGTGGACTCATAGAGCCAGAATATTGTTCATGTTCGGCTCGAATTATTTGAAATAGATAATATTTTGTTTATGTTTATTAAAATTCGAACGAACCCCTAGAAACATGTTACCTCCTAATGCTCCCATGGCCATTTTAAAGCGTAATTATATCGTTTAGCTGAAATCTGTACGTCCGGCATAAAGACTATCTCGAAAGCAAACCATCATACCTCGCTTCAAATGGCACCTCGTTCTCTATATATATGATTGATCCAACGAGTGTATACTGTACACACACTCTCTCTATCTCTCTTATTTGAAGATTGCGTGCATATCCATGTAGAAGATTTGGTCGAATTGTGCGTTCGAACAAAGAATAAATCGTCAACACAGACAAAAGCGTGTGATTGAATTGATGTTCACCATTAGACAAAAACATCAACATGCACATACAAACAACACATTCTTTGTTACTTTGAGAGACGGCAGAAATAAAAAAATATTATAATACATTGCGTTTTGTTTAGATTATTAAAGGAATTGACACGAAAAAAAAAAGATTCAATAGAAACCGAAATCACACGCACAAAAATGGATGGAAAAGGAAATGAATTATTTTAATAAGACAATCACGCATTCACAACCTAACGACGAAAAAACGAAAGTTAAAGATATGTTTTAGAATTATAGTCAGGATAAATTCAGATTGACAGATTTAATTTGGGTAGTCTGTGCATTTGGAATTAGATGAAAGCTATAAAAATATGGTTTAAAATAGTAGGATGCATTTTATTTAGATCTCTATCTTAATCATTGTGTGCATGGTAAATGAAATGCACCGACTAACCGACTTAAACGCTCGTTCAAAACAATTTTACGACTATGAAAAGTAGAAAGCAAGAGCTCTTTTTTTCGTTCCTTGGTAAGTACGATACCGTGCACCCAAAATGAAAAAAAAAACACACACACAATCTTTGAAGATTAAATAAAAAAGAAATAAAACAACCGACCGACATTAACAAATGATGAGTATAAATACTGTATACGCTTATTTTCATTCAGGTGTGGACAATAAAGCAGAAAAATATGCAATTAGAATTTGTATTCTTATTGTTAACCAGCGCAAAGTGCAACACACAATCGAAACGATGAAGTTGTTGTTTATTCTTTTCTGTTTTATGTGTCTTGGCAGTGTTTTACATTTTTGAATTCTTTTATAGGCGTTTGCATGCAAATTGTTGTTGTCACCGCGCGCATCTCCTTTATTTTCATTTTCGCTCTTTTTCTATATGTTGTGCTCTTCATTGATGTTTTCAAAATAGGGCTTACATTTAGAAGTTCACATAATGCGAACGACCATAAATGACTATATGCGTACAGTAGCAAGTTACAGTCTTTCATGCGGCAAAACTTCTAAGCAATCATTACAATGTGGTAATACTCGAACACGGTAATGTACACGATCTGATCGCACGGCGGCAACAGCAAGTTGACAACATATTTTCAAGTTGTAATTTCCTTATTTATTGTAAATATCCAATAACGACGGCAGAAAAAAAAATATTTATCGATTGCAGGCCTATTAGGCCTTGCGGGTGCGATCGCCTGCTCTTTGTCACATTGAAATATTTCGTTGGAGCTCGAAAAATCACACTTACATACAATCGATACCACAATGATGATTAAGTTATGTGACCAGATAAAAATTATGGTCAACATTCTACAAGTAATCCACCAGTTCTGTGATCGCTGTTGCTGTTATTGTTGTTTTGGTGTGAAGAATGTGAGCAAAGCAATGATAGAATAACAGACCATACACACATGCTTGTAGTTTTATTGCCCAAGGCCATGTGCACGAAATTTTATTCTATGCAGTTTTTGAACTCGACTCCACAGCTAGAAAGTTCCATAACCATTGATTGGTCATGTCTAAGTAATCGATACACTAAATAAAATGTCCAACTCAAAACTGAAATATAAATTGAAAAACTTATAAGTACACCATAATTTCTTCTGAACGAAAATGTGTTAGATTCTCTTTCTTCGCGAATGTTTGTGTGTGCGTGCAGTTTTTATTGATGGTTTATGATTTTCTTGAACTTTAAAACATTGTATTTGGTCGCACGAGAAAGGTGATAAAAGTCATTATGACTTTAGAAAAGTTTTCGTTGCAGTCAATTGGCAAAAGTTCAATTTTTACCATAGATTTTGTCAAGATACGACCAAATGAACTCGGCAATAAATGAACAAATGAACGAAGAAAAAAAATTGTACGAAACATGTTGATTTTTTCCCTTCATTCGATGTAGTTTTTGTTCCCTCATTGCTGCCCATTTTTTATCGCTTTTATGCAATTACTCAAGTATTGCACACAAACTGTGAGTGTGCGCAAAGACAACAACAGTACACAGCAATTGCAACAAAACCAAGA